CTAACCCCTAACCCTTAACCCTAACCCCAACCCTAAACCCTAACCCTAACCAACCCCTATACCCTAACCCCTAACCCTAAACCCTAACCCCAAACCCTAAACCCTAACCCAACCCCTAACCCCAACCCTTAACCCCTACCCCTAGCCCTAACCCTAACCCTTAACCCTAAACCCGAACCCTCTAACCCTAACCCCAACAACCTAACCCCTAGCCCTAACCCCAACCCTAAACCCAAACCCTAACCCCTTAACCCAAACCCTAACCCTAAAACCCTGACCCCTAACCCTAACCCCTTACCCTAACCCAAACCCTAAACCCTTACCCTTAACCCCTAAACCCTAACCCTAACCCCTTACCCCTAACCCTAAACCCTTACCCTAACCCCTAACCCTTAACCCTAACCCCAACCCTAAACCCTAACCCCTAACCCTCAAACCCTAACCCTAACCCCTAACCCTAACCCTAAACCCTAACCCCAACCCCTAAACCCTAACCCTTAACCCTAACCCAACCCCTAACCCTAAACCCTAACCCCTAACCCTAACCCTAACCCTTAACCCTAAACCCTTAACCCTAAACCCGAACCCTCTAACCCTAACCCTTAACCCTAACCCCTAGCCCTAACCCTAACCCCTTAACCCAAACCCTAACCCCTTAACCCAAACCCTAACCCTAAAACCCTGACCCTGACCCCTAACCCTAACACCCTGACCCTGACCCTTAACCCTAACCCCTAACCAACCCCAAACTCTAAACCCTAAACCCTACCCCTAACCCCCAAACCCTAACCCCTACCCTACCCCTTAACCCTAACCCCTTAACCCTACCCCTAACCCTAAAACCTAACCCCTAACCCTAACCCCAAGCCCCTAACCCTATCCCTAACCCCTTAACCTTAACCCCTTAACCCCTTACCCTAACCCTAACCCCAGGGCTCTCAGCCAGGACTGAGCAAATTATCTTCTTGTTGGCATCCCATACTTAGGACACCAGCATAGCAATTGACAAGCGATTGCCTTAGCCCCCTTTCCCAGTTGAGGGAGGGGCGATAATTTCGATATGTTCCTTACTCGGGGCTATGAGTGCTAGGGGCAGTAATCACTGGCTCTTTTGTCGGGGGACTTGCAATTGCCAGATTTTGCACCATATCCAGCATGTTGTTGGGCTGGTAACAAAAACCGCTACTATTTAGCACGCTAAGGTTACTATGATGGGGTGTAGGACCAAATTCAGTACACCTGTGCCAGTAGGGGACCATCCCAAAAGCACTTCCCACCAGTGGTGCGACAGGTCCTGGCTAACTCTTGCAAATACCCATTTAATTTCATTGGCATTATGATGCACAGTAATCCTGACTCTGCACCCTTCCTGTTTTGCAGTATGTCACTGGTTCTGTAAATCAGGGTGTACAAGCAATGTTTGTAAAGCAGTTAAATCCATTCCAAGGGGCACAGGTTTTACAATAGAATTCAGAGTATAAGACTTTTAACTGGCTATATTTAAATTTGGGTACATGAAATTTGAAATCACATCCCCTATTTGCTAAAATATGACAGAAACATTTATAGCATAACTTCATTTGTCTGCCAATACCTCTGTGTTAGTAACATCCAGCACTCCAACTTCTAATCCAATTCCACCCAAAGCAGTTCAATACATTTCTTGGCAGCCTTTTCTTTAGGCTACCCCCGACTCCTGACTGCCAGGCACAATCCAATAGCCTTCAGTAGTTAACATTGAGATAGTATTAGGGTAGCTATGTCGTCACTGGGCCTTTCTTTCCTTATATCCAATGTCATACACCGCCCAGGTGCATTCAGCTGGGCTTGCATGCTGGAAGTTAACTAAGAAGTAATAATTGGCAAGTCTTATTCTTTTAGTACATACCCATTTTTTCCCTTGTTAATTTCACTTTGTGCTTTAAAAAGTTTTTATGTCCATCCTTTTATTCCCACCAACAGATACACATTGTGTCTCATGCATCTTTTGCTTTTAAATGTGTCTTTACTGCCTAAGGATGTTTCCCTGTTAACAAACTGGCGTTTCTGTAAATACAGTTAAAATGCTTGTTAATCCTTTTCTGCCTAATGTAGTATTTCCCTTTTTGTAACACAATACACAACAATGCTAACAACAAGACAAACAACACAAGCCAAAACATAAAACACAAAACACAAGCTTTGTCGAGACAGTAGATCTATGGAATTCTGGGTTGCTCTTTAGCTGGTACCAGCTTTTCTTGATTCTCTGAAAGACAAAAAGAACATGTTTCTACCCCTTTTGGGGTGGCAGATTATTGCTTAAAATATCCATTCCTTTCACAAATATCCTTGCTGATTGAATCATAGGGTATGTCTACACTACGAAATTAGGTCAAATTTATAGAAGTCGGTTTTTTAGAAATCAGTTTTATATATTCAAGTGTGTGTGTGTCCCCACAGAAAATGCTCTAAGTGCATTAACTCGGCGGAGTGCTTCCACAGTACCGAGGCTAGAGTCAACTTCCAGAGCGTTGCACTGTGGGTAGCTATCCCACAGTTCCCGCAGTCTCCGCTGCCCATTGGAATCCTGGGTTGAGATCCCAATGCCTGATGGGGCTAAAACATTGTTGTGGGTGGTTCTGGGTACATATAGTCAGGCTCCCGTTCCCTCCCTCCCTCCCTCCATGAAAGCAAGGGCAGACAATCGTTTCGTGCCTTTTTCCCTGAGTTACCTGTGCAGACGCCATACCACGCAAACATGGAGCCCGCTCAGGTAACCATCACTGTATGTCTCCTGGGTGCTGGCAGACGTAGTACTGCATTGCTACACAGCAGCAGCAACCCATTGCCTTGTGGCAGCAGACGGTGCAATGGGACTGATAGCCGTCATCATCATGTCCAAGGTGCTCCTGGCCATGTCAGCCAGGAGCGCCTGGGCAGACATGGGCGCAGGGACTAAATTTGGAGTGACTTAACCAGGTCATTCTCTTGAGTCCTGCAGTCAGTCCTATTGAACCATCTTATGGGGAGCAGGCAGGCGATATGGATTGCTAGCAGTCCTACTGTACCATCTTCTGCCAGGCAGGCAAGAGATGAGGATGGCTAGCAGTCCTACTGCACCATTTTCTGCCGAGCAGCCATGTGATGTGGATGGCTTGCAGTCCTTCTGCACCGTCTGCTGCCAGCCAAAGATGAAAAAGATAGATGGAGTGGATCAAAATAAGAAATAGACCAGATTTGTTTTGTACTCATTTTCTTCCCCCCCTCCCCTGTCTAGGGGACTCATTCCTCTAGGTCACACTGCAGTCACTCACAGAGAAGGTGCAGCGAGGTAAATCTAGCCATGTATCAATCAGAGGCCAGACCAACCTGCTTGTTCCAATAAGAACAATTACTTAGGTGCACCATTTCTTATTGGAACCCTCCATGAAGTCCTGCCTGAAATACTCATTGATGTAAAGCCACCCCCTTTGTTCATTTTAATTCCCTGTAAGCCAACCCTGTAAGCCATGTCATCAGTCGCCCCTCCCTCCGTCAGAGCAATGGCAGACAATCGTTCCGCGCCTTTTTTCTGTGTGGACGCCATACCAAGGCAAGCATGGAGGCCGCTCAGCTCACTTTGGCAATTAGGAGCACATTAAACACCACATGCATTATCCAGCAGTATATGCAGCACCAGAACCTGGCAGAGCGATACCAGGCGAGGAGGCGACGTCAGCGTGGTCATGTGAGTGATCAGGACATGGACACAGATTTCTCTGAAAGCATGGGCTCTGCCAATGCATGCATCATGGTGCTAATGGGGCAGGTTCATGCTGTGGAAAGCCGATTCTGGGCTCAGGAAACAAGCACAGACTGGTGGGACCGCATAGTGTTGCAGGTCTGGGACGATTCCCAGTGACTGCGAAACTTTCACATGCGTAAGGGCACTTTCATGGAACTTTGTGACTTACTTTCCCCTGCCCTGAAGTGCATGAATACCAAGATGAGAGCAGCCCTCACAGTTGAGAAGCGAGTGGCGATAGCCCTGTGGAAGCTTGCAACACCAGACAGCTACCGGTCAGTTGGGAATCAATTTGGAGTGGGCAAATCTACTGTGGGGGCTGCTGTGATGCAAGTAGCTCATGCAATCAAAGATCTGCTGACATCAAGGGTAGTGACCCTGGGAAATGTGCAGGTTATAGTGGATGGCTTTGCTGCAATGGGATTCCCTAACTGTGGTGGGGCCATAGACGGAACCCATATCCCTATCTTGGCACCGGAGCACCAAGCTGGCGAGTACATAAACGGCAAGGGGTACTTTTCAATAGTGCTGCAAGCTCTGGTGGATCACAAGGGACGTTTCACCAACATCAACGTGGGATGGCCGGGAAAGGTACATGACGCTCGCATCTTCAGGAACTCTGGTCTGTTTCAAAAGCTGCAGGAAGGGACTTTATTCCCAGACCAGAAAATAACTGTTGGGGATGTTGAAATGCCTATAGTTATCCTTGGGGACCCAGCCTACCCCTTAATGCCATGGCTCATGAAGCCGTACACAGGCAGCCTGGACAGTGGTCAGGAGCTGTTCAACTACAGGCTGAGCAAGTGCAGAATGGTGGTAGAATGTGCATTTGGACGTTTAAAGGCGCGCTGGTGCAGTTTATTGACTCGCTTAGACCTCAGAGAAACCAATATTCCCACTGTTATTACTGCTTGCTGTGTGCTCCACAATATCTGTGAGAGTAAGGGGGAGACGTTTATGGCGGGGTGGGAGGTTGAGGCAAATCGCCTGGCTGCTAGTTACGCGCAGCCAGACATCAGAGTGGTTAGAAGAGCACAGGAGGGCATGGTACGTATCAGAGAAACTTTGAAAACCAGTTTCATGACTGGCCAGGCTACGGTGTGAAAGTTCTGTTTGTTTCTCCTTGATGAAACCCCCCACCCCTTGGTTCACTCTACTTCCCTGTATGCTAACCACCCTCCCCTCCTCTCTTCGATCACCGCTTGCCGAGGCAATAAAGTCATTGTTGCTTCACATTCATGCATTCTTTATTCATTCATCACACAAATAGGGGGATGACTACCAAGGTAGCCCAGGAGGGGTGGTGGAGGAGGGAAGGAAAATGCCACACAGCACTTTAAAAGTTTACAACTTTAAAATGTATTGAATGCCAGCCTTCTGTTTTTTGGGCAATCCTCTGTGGTGGAGTGGCTGGTTGGCCGAAGGCCCCCCCACCACGTTCTTGGGCGTCTGGGTGTGGAGGCTATGGAACTTGGGGAGGAGGGCAGTTGGTTACACAGGGGCTGTAGTGGCAGTTTGTGCTTCAGCTGCCTTTGCTGCAGCTCAATCATACACTGGAGCATACTGGTTTGATCCTCCAGCAGCCTCAACATTGAATCCTGCCTCCTCTCATCACGCTGCCGCCACATTTGAGCTTCAGCCCTGTCTTCAGCCCGCCACTTACTCTCTTCAGCCCGCCACCTCTCCTCCCGGTCATTTTGTGCTTTCCTGCACTGTGACATTATTTGCCTCCACGCATTCGTCTGTGCTCTGTCAGTATGGGAGGACAGCATGAGCTCAGAGAACATTTCATCACAAGTGCATTTTTTTTTTCTTTCTAATCTTCACTAGCCTCTGGGAAGGAGAAGATCCTGTGATCATTGAAACACATGCAGCTGGTGGAGAAAAAAAAAGGGACAGAGGTATTTAAAAAGACACATTTTATAAAACAGTGCCTACACTCTTTCAGGGTAAACCTTGCTGTTAACATTACATACGTAGCACATGTGCTTTAGTTACAAGGTTGCATTTTGCCTCCCCCCACCGCGTGGCTACCCCCTCAACCTTCCCCCCTCCCCATGGATAACAGCGGGGAGCATTTCTGTTCAGCCACAGGCAAACAGCCCAGCAGGAATGGGCACCTCTGAGTGTCCCCTGAAGAAAAGCACCCTATTTCAACCAGGTGACCATGAATGATATCTCACTCTCCTGAGGATAACACAGAGAAATAAAGAACGGATGTTGTTTGAACGCCAGCAAACATACACTGCAATGCTTTGTTGTACAATGATTTCCGAGTACGTGTTACTGGCCTGGAGTGGTAAAGTGTCCTACCATGGAGGACACAATAAGGCTGCCCTCCCCAGAAACCTTTTGCAAAGGCTTTGGGAGTACATCCAGGAGAGCCGCGAATGCCAGGACAAATTAATCCTTTCACTTGCTTGCTTTTAAACCATGTATAGTATTTTAAAAGGTACACTCACCGGAGGTCCCTTCTCCGCCTGCTGGGTCCAGGAGGCAGCCTTGGGTGGGTTCGGGGGGTACTGGCTCCAGGTCCAGGGTGAGAAACAGTTCCTGGCTGTCGGGAAAACCGGTTTCTCCGCTTGCTTGCTGTGAGCTATCTACAACCTCATCATCATCATCATCCCCAAAACCTGCTTCTGTGTTGCCTCCATCTCCATTGAAGGAGTCAAACAACACGGCTGGGGTAGTGGTGGCTGAATCCCCTAAAATGGCATGCAGCTCATCATAGAAGCGGCATGTTTGGGGCTCTGACCCGGAGCGGCCGTTTGCCTCTCTGGTTTTCTGGTAGGCTTGCCTCAGCTCCTTAAGTTTCACGCGGCACTGCTTCGGGTCCCTGTTATGGCCTCTGTCCTTCATGCCCTGGGAGATTTTGACAAAGGTTTTGGCATTTCGAAAACTGGAATGGAGTTCTGAGAGCACGGATTCCTCTCCCCATACAGCAATCAGATCCCGTACCTCCCGTTCAGTCCATGCTGGAGCTCTTTTGCGATTCTGGGATTCCATCATGGTCACCTCTGCTGATGAGATCTGCATGGTCACCTGCAGCTTGCCACGCTGGCCAAACAGGAAATGAGATTCAAAAGTTCGCGGTTCTTTTCCTGTCTACCTGGCCAGTGCATCTGAGTTGAGAGTGCTGTCCAGAGCGGTCACAATGGAGCACTCTGGGATAGCTCCCAGAGGCCAATACCATCGAATTGTGTCCACAGTACCCCAAATTCGACCTGGCAAGGCCGATTTAAGCGCTAATCCACTTATCAGGGGCGTAGTAAGGAAATCGATTTTAAGAGCCCTTTAAGTCGAAATAAAGGGCTTCATCGTGTGGACGGGTGCAGGTTTACATCGATTTAACGCTGCTAAATTTGACCTAAAGTCCTAGTGTAGACCAGGGCATAGACTTTAAGGTCAGAAGGGACCCTTATGATCGTCTAAAACGTGCATCGTCTTAAAAGTGGACACAATCAACTTCCACCTGAGTTTTGATTTCTTTTCACTTTCAACTTCTGCTTCCAAAACACACAGTGATCTGAAAAAGAAAACACAACCTACTGTGGCTCCCTTTAGAGACCTAATAGGATTTTAGTTAAGTAGCATGTTTTGTTTGCATGTCTTTTACCCCTTCTACAATATACACTGCACATGTCCTGGGAAAAATGCACATTCCTTTCATAGTTTAACTTCTGTAACATTATATTAGCCATATCAATTTTTACATAAGGTGCAACAGTTTCTTTTGTGCTCACACAGTTTCCACGTACCTTTATTAAAGTGACAGTCTGATTACTCAGAGCCACCTTAAGGCTCAGTGTTTCCAATGTAGCTTCTTTTTTTTGTGCACCTCACCCCTGCTGTTGCTCCAGAGGGGCACTGTCTCTCTCTTTTTTTTTTTTAAACTTCTTATACTACAGCTCTTATCTGCTATTTTGTTACCAAAAAAAGGATCCAGAATTTCTCCCCATTCCCCTGGGTTTAACTGCTCTGTTGCAGCCAGGACTTTGGTCTTTTAAAAAAATTTTGAACTGTATAAAGCATTGAAGTACCTTAAGGGTTAAATGCTAAATACCAAAGCCAAACAACGCTAGTCACCTTTGTCTGGTAAACAAGTGTATTCTATCTGCTACCCAAGATCCATAAACCTGGAAATCCTGGGCGCCCCATCATCTCAGGCATTGGCACCCTGACAGCAGGATTGTCTGGCTATGTAGACTCCCTCCTCAGGCCCTACGCTACCAGCACTCCCAGCTATCTTCGAGACACCACTGACTTCCTGAGGAAACTACAATCCATCGGTGATCTTCCTGAAGACACCATCCTGGCCACTATGGATGTAGAAGCCCTCTACACCAATATTCAACACAAAGATGGACTACAAGCCATCAGGAACACTATCCCCGATAATGTCACGGCAAACCTGGAGGCTGAACTTTGTGACTTTGTCCTCACCCATAACTATTTCACATTTGGGGACAATGTATACCTTCAAATCAGCGGCACTGCAATGGGTACCCGCATGGCCCTACAGTATGCCAACATTTTTATGGCTGACTTAGAACAATGCTTCCTCAGCTCTCGTCCCCTAATGCCCCGACTCTACTTGCGCTATATTGATGACATCTTCATCATCTGGACCCATGGAAAAGAAGCCCTTGAGGAATTCCTCCATGATTTCAACAATTTCCATCCCACCATCAACCTCAGCCTGGACCAGTCCACACAAGAGATCCACTTCCTGGACACTACAGTGCTAATAAGCGATGGTCACATAAACACCACCCTATACCGGAAACCTACTGACCGCTATTCCTACCTACACGCCTCCAGCTTTCACCCAGACCACACCACACGGTCCATTGTCTACAGCCAAGCTCTACGATATAACCGCATTTGCTCCAACCCCTCAGACAGAGACAAACACCTACAAGATCTCTGTCAAGCTTTCTTACAACTACAATACCCACCTGCGGAAGTGAAGAAACAGATTGACAGAGCCAGAAGAGTACCCAGAAGTCGCCTACTACAGGACAGGCCCAATAAAGAAAATAACAGAACGCCATTAGCCGTCACCTTCAGCCCCCAACTAAAACCTCTCCAATGCATTATCAAGGATCTACAACCTATCCTGAAGGATGACCCAACACTCTCACAAATCTTGGGAGACAGGCCAGTCCTTGCCTACAGACAGCCCCCGAACCTGAAGCAAATACTCACCAGCAACCACACACCACACACCAGAACCACTAACCCAGGAACCTACCCTTGCAACAAAGCCCAATGCCAACTGTGCCCACATATCTATTCAAGGGACACCATCATAGGGCCTAATCACATCAGCCACACTGTCAGAGGCTCGTTCACCTGCACACCTACCAATGTGATATATGCCATCATGTGCCAGCAATCATAGAATATCAGGGTTGGAAGGGACCTCAGGAGGTCATCTAGTCCAACCCCCTGCTCAAAGCAGGACCGATCCCCAATTAAATCATTGTACAATCATGTACACTGGGCAAACTGGACAGTCTCTACATAAAAGAATAAATGGACACAAATCAGATGTCAAGAATTATAACATTCATAAACCAGTCGGAGAACACTTCAATCTCTCTGGTCACTCGATTTCTGATCTCAAAGTGAGTATCCTTCAACAAAAAAACTTCGAAAACAGTCTCCAACAAGAGACTGCTGAATTGGAATTAATTTGCAAATTGGATACAATTAACTTAGGCTTGAATAGAGACTGGGAGTGGTTGAGTCATTATGCTAAGTAAAACTATTTCCCCTTGTTTATTCCTCCCCCCCACTGTTCCTCAGACGTTCTTGTTAACTCCTGGAAATGTGCTGGAAATGGCCCACCTTGATTATCACTTCAAAAGGTTTTCTCCCCCCCCCCCCCCCCCCCCGACCCCACTCTCCTGCTGGTAATACCTCATCTTAAGTGATCACTCTCCTTACAATGTATATTTTTTCATGGTCTGTGTGTATATATAAAATCTCCTCACTGTACTTTCCACTTTATGCAGCCGATGAAGTGAGCTGTAGCTCACGAAAGCTTATGCTCAAATAAATTGGTTAGTCTCTAAGGTGCCACAAGTAGTCTTTTCTTTTTGCGAATACAGACTAACAAGGCTGCTACTCTGAAAAGCGTTTCTCAGTTTTGCAACTTTGAATGAAAGATTCAGATGGCTTTTTAGTGGTGTTATTTAAAACCAAACCAAACAACAATTTATCTTAAATCCACAAAACAGAGTTTCACAAGCTAGGAGCACCGGCCTTGGTCCCAAACACTTCACACACTTACACAGTGTATCTAAAAAAGAAAAGGAGTACTTGTGGCACCTTAGAGACTAACCAATTTATTTGAGCATAAGCTTTCGTGAGCTACAGCTCACTTCATCAGATGCATACTGTGGAAAGTGTAGAAGATCTTTTTATACACACAAAGCATGAAAAAATGGGTGTTTACCACTACAAAAGGTTTTCTCTCCCCCCACCCCACTCTCCTGCTGGTAATAGCTTATCTAAAGTGATCACTCTCCTTACAATGTGTATGATAATCAAGGTGGGCCATTTCCAGCACAAATCCAGGGTTTAACAAGAACGTATGGGGGGGGGGGTGTGTAGGAAAAAACAAGAGGAAATAGGTTGCCTTGCATAATGACTTAGCCACTCCCAATCTCTAGAGCTTGAATAGAGACTGGGAGTGGCTAAGTCATTATGCAAGGTAACCTATTTCCCCTTGTTTTTTCCTACCCCCCCCCCCATACGTTCTTGTTAAACCCTGGATTTGTGCTGGAAATGGCCCACCTTGATTATCATACACATTGTAAGGAGAGTGATCACCTTAGATAAGCTATTACCAGCAGGAGAGTGGGGTGGGAGGAGGTATTTTTTCATGCTTTGTGTGTATAAAAAGATCTTCTACACTTTCCACAGTATGCATCTGATGAAGTGAGCTGTAGCTCACGAAAGCTTATGCTCAAATAAATTGGTTAGTCTCTAAGGTGCCACAAGTACTCCTTTTCTTTTTGCGAATACAGACTAACACGGCTGTTACTCTGAAACCTGACAGTATATCTATACACACACAGATACACACAAGCATACTCTTCTCCTTCACATCCCTTACACTGCTTTAATTTTTATACAGCTGTACATAGGATTACATTGGTATATATTTGGGGTCAGGTAAGTTCCAATAGAAACCCCTTATGTTCTTTTGGCAAATTTGACTTAATTGTTCAGTCAAATGATTCAAAGCAGACTGTCTTTTTGCCTGGCTTATTTACAAACATTCCTTTGGAAAAGGGCTCATTTTTCCTTCAGAATAGCTGCAAAGAAACCAAGAATCTTTTTCTATAACACTTTTTCTGTTAACATTTGTACAAGGTTCAACTGCTTAATTCCCTCTAGCCTCTGCAGAGTTAATTTCTCACTCTCTTTATCTGTTGCCTGCCTGCTTGTCTGGGCCTGATCCTGCTTTCCTCCCTGAACCGCCCCTTCCCATGGGCACAGGCTTTGTCCCACTAACAATTTAGCAAAGACGGTGGGTTCCTCAACTAGCTCCCACCCCTCCTGGTCCCTTTTCTTTGGTCCCTTTCTCTCTTGTTGCTCTGGGGTGGTCATTCTGCCAGATAGGTAGCGACCCTTTCTGACAGAAGGCACAGGTACTTTGCTATTGTTTCCTGTGTTAGACTCTATCAGTTCAGTCCAGAAGCCCTTAGGCTGCCTGCAGCGTCTCCACTGAATTCGTTACCAGCACAAAATTCTCTATTACTCACACATTCAAGGGCACCTTCCTTTTCCCCAGTTCCTAGGGCTCCAGGCAAAAAGCACCTAACTTTACCCCTCCGTGGGCTCTGGGGAAGTACCCATTCCCTGTGGACTCAGAGCAAACTCCCTTTCCCTGTGGACTCAGGGCTTAATCTTTTGTGGGTTTACGGGGTCTTTTACCAGTGAAAGAGCCTTACACAGTAATATACTACATAACCTCTATTTCTTAACAATCACCAAAACAGAATGCACACACATACAGTGCTCACCACTCCCAGTAAGACAGATGAACTTTTCCTGATGGCCAGTCAAAATCAGGTCCATCTGGGGGACTCCAGTTTCTGCACGGTGTCAGTGGCAGAGTGTTACGGTCTGGCAGCTCTGATCTTTGGGGCTATGTCCTGGAGTTGGTTCCCTGTCTCTGGACATAATTTCTCCACTCGAGCAGGCAATCAACCTGAGTTCTGAGTCCCAGTAACGGAATGTATCTGTAAATTAACTCGCGAACTGCGACACGAGAACTTGTAGTGAGTGACCCCACCCCGCCGTCTTTTACCTCCTATTACAATGGACAAACTACAAACTGTTTGTACCATCCGTCTCCTTCCTCTCTACCAATCCTCGCTTGGGCCTCCAAATTCTTTTACCTGGGGTTCTTTCAACCCAAAGCTCTTGGTAACTTTTACTCTGTGCGAGGTGGTGTCAGGAAATAAATCACGATGGCTGGCACAAACAGGACAACACAAGAGTGCTTTCACTTAAAGTTAAACTTTACTTGGTCTCAAGCACTTATACACACGTCCGCAAGAGGTTAGTAAAACACCCTCAACCCTTGATAATTACCAAAGCTGAGTGTGGCTCTCGAGTGGCACAGTGGCAGCTGCTGAAACACAAGATGCATCCAGAGAGAGAGAGAGTCCAGTCCTGAAGAGTCCCCCTACCTCAAACTTTTTCCCCTTATTTATACATTAGTAATAGAATGACATGACCCTTAAAGCAAACTTGTTAAGTAAGCAATTTCAATGGTCAAGCAAGAGGTTCCTTCTGATTATTGATTAACCAGGTGCGGGTTTTTCCAGAGTTTGCAGCCTTGAGGCCCCAATAGACATTCCTGGGGCACATCCTGCTCTTCTAAGATGTATGTATCAGCAACTTCAACACAATTCTTATCAGGAAGGACAAGGGGTCAAGCTGCCCTCTCTGTGGCACCCAAACCCCCCCCTCCCCTCCTGCCTTGGTTAAGCTAAGCCTGCTGACTTGGCTGCTTTTAGCAATAAGCCATAGTGGTTTCAGGCACTTTACTGGTTTGCCAAAGTCTCCCCGTACACATCAATGTCTGTTAGCCAGGATGGGCAGGGATGCAAAACTACGCTCTGAAGTGTCCCTAGCTCATTTGCCAGAAGCTGGGAATGGGCGACAGGAGATGGATCACTTGATGATTACCTGTTCTGTTCATAGCCTCTGAAGCAGTGGTTCTCAACCAGGAGTCCAGGGCCCCCTGGGGGGTTGCGAGCATGTTTCAGGGGGTCCTCCAAGTGGGGCCAGCATTAGACTTGCTGAGGCCCAGGGCAGAAAGCCGAAGCCCCGCCACCTGGGGCTGAAGCCAAAGCCTGAGCAACTTCATGGGGGCCAAGTGGTGTAAGGTCCAAGCCAATTGCCCTGCTTGCTACCCCTTAACGCTGGCCCTGGCTTTTATATGCAGAAAACCAGATGTGGCACAAGTGAGCAGTGGAGTTTTTATATCATGTTGGGCGGCCCTCTGAAAGGAAAAGGCTGAGAAACCCTGGTCTGAAGCACCTGGCATTAAATATGGCTAATCTTATGTTGATAGGGAGCATGATACTGTGCCAGCAGCCTGTGCACATAACCAAAAATCACTAATAACAGAGCCCCGAAGAGTCTGTGTCTGCCAACCCCCTTCACCCACCTCCCACCAACACCCAGACTATTCTTTTTGACAATAATTTTTAATAAATCACAAAATAAAAAAGTTTGATTAAAAACAAAAAAACACAAAACAGCAAAACCAGCAGGTGACATTAATTTCTCATTCAGTCCCACCTCCACCCCACCCCCCCAGCCACAGCAGGGGCCTACGGGAACCTAAGAAAGGAGTTCTCACTGAGATTGCAAGACAAGCTGGGAAAGCTCCAGTGGCTGGAGACACTGAACCAGCCTGTGAGGAAGCCAGACGTGGCCAGTGGGCCTATTGGGGAAGCCAGAGAACAATGGAAGGTTGGGAGGGTCTCATTGAACCTGCTAAGTAAGGTTGGAGAGGGACAAGCTGCATGCAGGTGGACACGCACAGGAGTGGGAGACGTGTCCCCAGTCCAATATGTGCAGCTAATCAGCTGCAAGGAGAGGCTCATGGCAATGATATGGGTGTGTGTGTATCACACTTTTGCTAGAGACAAAGTCCAAAGTGGTGGTGACATTTCTAACAGAGGGAGATGCCCTCAGGTTCAGTGCTTTACAGCATGAATACCTCAGCAACAAGCAACTCCACCTGACCTGACTGCTTGGAGGAAAAGCAGCTCTGGAAGAACTTACTCTCTGCAATGTCCTAGTCTCTCCTGTCTCAACATGCAAAGCTACGATATTCCATAGCACCACTATGTCATTGGCTCTGATCATTCACATCTACTGTAACACACTTGGCAAAACTGTGCTGGGCCTTCTCCAGCCCAGACACACAAGGATCCACATGGCTGTGGACTGAAGGCATGTGCAGCCAGGGCAGCTGCAGAATTTGGCATTATAGTGAGTCAGCCACCATTCTTTCTGAAGGGTGTTTCAGACTTCTGCACCTGGAGGACAACTCCTGTTCGCAGAGGCGCACCTGATCTCAAGGAGACTCTGCACCTGGTCTCAGTCACACCACATTCATGAAGATGGTGCTGGTTAATAGAAAGCACCACCAAGGCAGTCACTTGTCAGCACTGGCCAAGAGGTCTCCAGGGGCATTTACTGTCTCTTGTGTACCAGACTGTGAAGGCAGAGAAGACCCCACAGGAACACACAAGGCTTCGGTAAGTGCTGGCTGTGCGTGCTTCCTGCTCTTGAAGGAGCCAATAGCAGGTCTCCACCACCACCACTCCCCACAGCTGAGCAGCAGGCAGGGATGAGGGAGACGTGGAATATTGTTCCAGATAGCTCGGGTTACAGTCACAATCAAGGCTAATTTTAGCCAATACAATCATCACTTCCAGGGAATATCTACAGGATGCAGAGCCCAGGGACCCGGCCCTGGAGCATGTTTGCCAAACAACACCACCAGGCTAGTAACACAGAAACTCCAATGACCTGTTCCAAGCAACTTCACAGAGGTTGGGGGACCTGGGGCACAAGGACTCAAAGCCACTCAGCAAGGAATTCTTTGGCCAGAGCCCGGAGGCTACACGAAGGTTTTAGTAGAAATAAAGCCGGGCGAGTCCCACTCTCAGACACACCAGCTCTGCTCACTGACCACAATGGAGCATCACACTAACTCCAGGCCTAGACGGCCGCATCAGTCAGATGGATTCTGAGAACGGGAACTCTGGCAATGACATGAAGAAAGAGGCTCGACTTGCAGTGTCAACAGTGGCTGTGCCCCTCTTCGCCTTTTGGGGAAGCCACTGCCAGGCATGTCAATGATGGCTGTGCCCTTCCTCCCCCTAGGGGGCAGACAATGCCAGGGAGGTCAGTGATGGCTGTGCCCAACTAGGGGCAGGCATCGCCATGGGTGTTGGTGATGGATGTGCTCCCTTCGGGGGCTACTAAATGGAGGTTTCATCGCACTTGGCCAGTGGAACCCCTGTCAGGTAGATCCGGGCTTGGTCTTTGTCCAGCTCATTGATGTAGAGGTGGGGGAAGCCACTGAGGCTGCCATTCTTCTTAGCTGTAGCCAGCGGGTGGCGCTCGTCTTCTGGGGAGCTTGGCGTGTGTGGCTCATGGCTGCAGCTGGTTGTATTCGACTGCATCAAATCCAGTCCATTTCTCTCACGGCTGAGCAGCTCCCTCTGGAGTCGCTCCTGTCGCCTCCTCTCGTAGATGAAGAAACAGCCAGAGCCAGCAGCAAAGCCTAGGAAAAACAAGAGGAGTCCCACCAGGACACTGTAGTTCCGCTCAGTTGTCTTCCAGGTGTTAGCAGAGCTGCTGCCCCTCACCAGGCTATAGGAGGCGACCACGCCCCCTGCTCCACCTTCCATGCACTGGCAGGTGTAATCACCAAGGGTATCCTCTGTCACTGTGAACTCCAGCCCATCGCTGCGCAAGGCGTACATGGTGGCATCTTGGAAAGGTCTCTGCCACGTGCAGGTTGCCCAGGCTGACGGTGGAGTACAGGGGAGCACAACCCGGGCAGCCAGGGACACTGGCACCTCGACTGTAACAGGCACATCTGCAAGTGGGAGAGAAACACTGCATTGGGGCAGAACCCGAACATGAGACAGGGCTCCTGCAGTATGTGCTACCGATTCTCCACAGGCATGGGCAAGCAGGAGAGGAGCATCCCCCAGCCCAGTCCCATGGAAATAACAAGAGGGCAGCTGTATCCCTTAGAGACAAAAGAAGAGGGTACGAAGCATATGGCACAGGGACACTGGGAAGGTGAACCCATAGCCTGGGTTCCTCAGGGGAAGCACAACTCTTGGATCCCCTCTTTGGTGGAGTTTCTTCCTTCTTCCCCTCTTCAGAATAAGCCCTCCCCACATCCTCTTAGTCTTTCACAGGCCCCCCGCTATTGCATTGAAAGAAGCGCCCTCCCAAACCCGAGTCACTCTATGCCCCCACCTCAGTCCAGAGCCACTCTGGTCTCCATGCCCCTTTCTCCCTACAGCCAGCATCTGCTGCACAGCCACACAACCTGCATCTGCTGGCCCAGGCTGGGGGAAGGTGCATGACCCCAAACCAGTGGAGAGGTGGTCAATCAGGGCTCAGTACAGGCTCGCGTCGTGACATGGCCCTTCTTCCCAGATGCCACTGGTCCTGCCCTTTTCACAGCAGAGACCCCCGTGCACAACCCCTCCCCGCAGTTAGTCTGCACAAAGCCAGGCGTGCCAAAGAGATGTGCTTCCCCCTTCAGATATGGGAACACTGATCTCTGAGCCAGCGCCACGCTGCTCAGGAACCCCTCAGAGCCATACCCACCTAGGCCCTAACTTCCAAACTTCTCAGTGCTGGATGCGTTTCCAGCACTGAGCTGCCCTCAGGCCACATACCTGCTGTTCCCTGTGGACACACTGTCAAGATGCTTAGAGATGTGAGATCCTGCAGTAACCTGAGATGAGGCAGAAAAGCAGAGATCATGATGAATTCCAGTGGCTGCTGCAGCCTCATCAGGAAATGACCCACCCAGCCCAGGTTCCTGGGGATGGCTAGAGGATGGCTCTAGACTGTTCTCAATGGTAGCAGATGACAGAACGAGGAGTAATGGTCTCAAGTTGCAGTGGGGGAGGTTTAGATTGGATATTAGGAAAAACTTTTTCACTAAGAGGGTGGTGAAACACTGGAATGCGTTACCTAGGGAGGTGGTAGAATCTCCTTCCTTAGAGGTTTTTAAGGTCAGGCTTGACAAAGCCCTGGCTGGGATGATTTAACTGGGAATTGGTCCTGCTTTGAGCAGGGGGTTGGACTAGATGACCTTCAGGGGTCCCTTCCAACCCTGATATTCTATGATTCTATGATTCCTGTGTGTAGGGGAGGTGAGTCTGGCTCTGCAGCAGGTGAGGAAGGGGGAAGCACATTAGGAGGGGGGATCCTAGACTAGGGGATAAGCCTCCATTTCTGAGCAGCACTCAGTTACACAGGGGGTCTTAGAGGGCCTAAAGGCAGGAAATCCAGGGACAGAAATTAAAACTTCCAGTATCTGCAACGGACAGAGGTTACCCGGCTACCATAGGATCAGAGCTTAACCCCTGCCTGGGGACTGCCCCTCCCTGGGCTGAGGTCAGTTTCTAGGAGGACTGAGAAGTGCTGTTTTCTAGGGATTTACCTGCCCTATCTACCTCACTACTATCAGAAAACTGCCCTGCACTCTGGTTTGTGTTCAGGCACACACAACGGTACCAACACCAGGTTGAAAAGGAGACAAGCTGGCCAGGAGCGTGTGTCTACTGGGAAAGGGGGAGTGAGAGGAAAGTAATTGAGGATGTCAGGAATGGGAATGTTGGTTGGTGGCAAAGGAGTGGGATCAGGCTCAGGAAGGAATTAATTCCCAGCGGAGGCTTGCAGGACTTTGTGCAGGGTCTAAGGATCTCAAAACATTTTGCAGACTGACTGTCCTGTAATACAGAGAGCCTACAGCATTGGGCCTGGTGCAAGACATGAAGCCTGAACCAGCTGTGAACTAAAGTCAGGCCACATATTACAGCACATGCCTATAAGTTCACTGTCCAGTAGATGAACTTGGCGACGGTGCTGCTAGAATCGCTAAAACACACTTAATATTTATGAAAAAAGAAAAGGAGTACTTGTGGCACCTTAGAGACTAACCAATTTATTTGAGGAGAGTGGAGTGGGGGGAGAGAAAACCCTTTGTAGGGACAAACACCCATTTTTTCATGGTTTGTGTGTATAAAAACATCTTCTGTATTTTCCACAGTATGCATCCGATGAAGTGAGCTGTAGCTCACGAAAGCTTATGCTCAAATAAATTGGTTAGTCTCTAAGGTGCCACAAGTACTCCTTTTCTTTTTGCGAATACAGACTAACACGGCTGTTACTCAAACTTAATATTTATGTAAACACATTCCAAAAGGCTAGCACAATTACATGCCAACCTACCACAATATGGTTTGACAGAAGTGATGAATAGGGATGTTTTGTCTGAAACATCAGAAGCAAGGTACAAGGGGAGGTAACAAACAGATGACAAGAAACATGTAAGGTGGTAATGTAAGTTGTTTACCCCAGTTGTTTGTCTCAGTCTATAAATGTTGGGATATCTCCTCGTACCCTTTGTATGTCTCAGGGGACAGCAGAAACTCCTGCTGCTGACTGAGACCTGGCCCTAGAGAGAGATGGGCTACGTGGAGGGTTGAAGTGAGCCTCTTAGGCTAACATAAACCTCCTGGAAGCGTGGGACCCACGGGGACAAGGTTGGAGCTCTGCCACAATAGTTAAGACCCAGGCAGACTGCGAAGAGCTACAAAAGGATCTCTCAAAACTGCGTGGCTGGGCAACAAAATGGCAGATGAAATTTAATGTTGATAATGCAAAGTAATGCTCATTGGAAAGCATAATCCCAAACAGACATACAAAATGATGGGGTCTAAATTAGCTGTTACCAGTCAAGAAAGATCTTTGAGTCATTATGGATAGTTCTCTGAAAACATCCACTCAATGTGCAGCGGCAGTCAAAAAAGTGAACAGAATGCTGGGAATAATTGCGAAAGGGATAGATAATAGGACAGAAAATATGTTGCCTCTATATAAATCCATGGTACGCCCACATCTTGAATACCGTGTGCAGATGTGGTCGCCCCATCTCAAAAAAGATATATTGGAACTGGAAAAGGTTCAGAAAAGGGCAACAAAAATGATTAGGGGTATGGAACAGCTTCTGTATGAGGAGATGTCAAGGTTCCTCCCCCACTCTGAACGTTAGGGTACAGATGTGGGGACCTGCATAAAAACCTCCTAAGCTTATCTTTACCAGCTTATGTCAAAACTTCCCCAAGGTACAAAATATTCCACCCTTTGTCCTTGGATTGGCCGCTACCACCACCAAACAAATACTGGTTACTGGGGAAGAGCTGTTTGGAAACGTCTTTCCCCCCAAATACTTCCCAAAGCCTTGCACCCCACTTCCTGGACAAGGTTTGGTAAAAAGCCTCACCAATTTGCCTAGGTGACTACAGACCCAGACCCTTGGATCTGAGAACAATGAAAAAGCATTTAGTTTTCTTACAAGACGACTTTTAATAGAGATAGAAGTAAATAGAAGTAAAGAAATCCCCTCTGTAAAATCAGGATGGTAGATACCTTACAGGGTAATTAGATTCAAAACAGAGAATCCCTCTAGGCAAAACCTTAAGTTACAAAAAAGATACACAGACAGAAATAGTTATTCTATTCAGCACAATTATTTTCTCAGCCATTTGAAGACATCATAATCTAACACATACCTAGCTAGATTACTTACTAAAAGTTCTAAGACTCCATTCCTGGTCTATCCCCGGCAAAACAGCATATAGACAGTCCCACAGACCCTTTGTTTCTCTCCCTCCTCCCAGCTTTTGAAAGTATCTTGTCTCCTCATTGGTCATTTTGGTCAGGTGCCAGTGAGGTTACCTTTAGCTTCTTAACCCTTTACAGGTGAGAGGAGTTTTCCTCTGGCCAGGAGGGATTTTAAAGGGGTTTACCCTTCCCTTTATATTTATGACAGGAGAGATTAATAAGACTGGGACTTTTCAGCTTGGAAAAGAGATGGCTAAGGGGAGATATGATTGAGGTCTATAAAATCATGACTGGTGTAGAGAAAGTAGATAAGGAAGTGTTGTTTACTACTTCTCATAACACAAGAACTAGGGGTCACCAAATTAAATTAATAGGCAGCAGGTTTAAAACAAACAAAAGGACTTATTTCTTCACACAATGCAGTGTCAACTTGTGGAACTCCTTGCCAGAGGATGTTGTGAAGGCCAAGATCATAATAGGGTTCAAAAAAGAACCCTAGATAAATTCATGGAGGATAGGTCCATCAATGGCTATTAGCCTGTTTGCCAGAAGCTGGGAATGAGCGACGGGATGGATCACTTGATGATTACTTGTTCTGTTCATTCCCTTGTCTGCTACCTGCTGGCTAGATCAGCCTGAAACCAGCCAAATCTAGGAATTATTTTGGGGTAGGTCTCTGGCCTGTGTTATACAGGAAGTCAGACTAGACGATCCCTATGGTACCTTCTATGATGGTACATGCCCCATTCCAGTGACAGCAAGCCTAATGAGTATCACTGCACTTAGGCAAAGCCAATTAGGTGCCCTTGCAGAGCATGCTCTACCTGGAGAAGGTGAAGCTTGCCACAGAGCAGGGGGGAAGTTTGCCTGAGAGTCAAGGCTGCTAGAGGCTTCTAGGGAGCCCAGTAGCCAGGGGAGCCCAGCCCGAGGCAGTGACCAGACTTCCTTTTCCCCCAGTTTAGGGCAGTTAGACACTGCAGCCCTAGGAAGGACTCTGGATGTCTGCTCTCCATCAGTGCCCTGTAGCTGGACCTGAGGACCTGCACCAGGGATTGGAGGTAATTATACTCTGAAAGCACCATGGGAGTGAGGTCAAGTCCTGCAGGGAACAGTGAGCATGTCCAGGAGTGGGGGTTCTGCGGGGACCCAGGGGCAAGAGGTGATAGCTGAGTCCCGGCTGAGAGCTGGCCAACTAAACCTTCTCGCCATGGAATCTATGAATCAATCATACAGATACAGAAACAGCTGAAGGCTGAGTTGCTGAGGTGAGCTATGACCACTGCCATACATTTTATAAATGTCCCTGGGTCTGATGAAAGGCCAAAATGGAGTTGTGGTCTCCTACTACAAATCTTAAGTATTTCCTGTGGCCCAGGTGAATTGAAACATGGAAATAGGCATCCTCCATGTCAGCTTACCAGTTGTTGAGATCTGGGAATAGGTTAATAGAGAAGGAATATCATACTGAACGTTATCTTTCTGATAAAGGTGTTTAACTTTCTTAAGTCCAGGATAGGCCTCAGTCCCCCTCTTTTTTGGGGGTATGAGGAAATATTGAAAGTAGAATCCCTCCCTTTCTCCTGTGCTGTAAAGGGGCCTCCTCTATAGCTCCAAGAGCTAAAAGAGACTGCACCTCCTGCAGCAGTATGGTCTCATGAGAGGGGTACCCGAACAGGGATGGGGTAGGACAAAGACTGAAACTGGATGCTGCATCCCCATTCTGAGTGTCTAAAACCCCTTGATCACTAGTTGTGGAGCTGCAGACACATAGGAACTGGAGAGAGGGTGCCCAAAGAAAGGGATGGGTTGGGAAGATCCTGGTTGATGGATACTCAGCTCTCAAAGCAGTCAAGTCAGCTGCTTTGAAAGGCCATGAAGACAGATGCTGCAGAGATTCACCTCAGAAATTGGTGATGTTTCTTTGAGGAGTGACAGTTAATACAGTTGTGCTTAGATAAAAATGCTTAGTAGTTTGCTATTTGCATTTATAGGCTAGTTGCTAAGTACGCCACCCTACCCAACAAGCCTAGTCTTTCTAGCTCCTTATATTTTGGTGTGGCTTTGAACTGCTCCCAACCTGATTTGTCCTTGCCAAGCCAGAACCAGGGAACACAGCACAGGGTAAGCAAAAATTCTATTGGAATCCCTGTGAGAGCATATGGTGTTTGTGATCCATCCTCTGCAAAGTAGGTGTCAGGGAGGCAGGTGTCTGCCAAAGGAGTTTGGCCAGGTCCTACAATGCGTTGTCTCTAGGCACTGCTACAGCCACCTGCAGGATTTCTAGCAACCTAAGAGGGTTCTGAGGCCGATGGAGACATCCATCTCCTGAGCTGACCTGATGTCCTGGGAGGTGCACAGGCTGCCTTGAGCCTGTTTCTGAGACGTCACAGAAAGGCTGCTGAGGCTCATCCATGACTCTGATCACTATCCCATGCTGCTCATCCTCATGGGAACTGATCCTGCTGCCAGGACTGAACCTGAACAGATCAGTAGTGACTAAAGGGCTCTGGGAGCGAGGCTGAAGAAGTCTGGAGCAGTGGTGGCTCTGACCTAGGGACTGCTTGGTGTCAACAGGCAGAGGGCACAACTGGGGGCATAAGGATTACAGGGATGGTCTGGTATTTGCAGACTAGTTTGGTCATGTCAGGTCATAGAATATCAAGGTTGGAAGGAAGCTCAGGAGGTGATCTAGTCCAAACTCCTGCTCAAAGCAGGACCAATCCCCAACTAAAGCATCCCAGCCAGGACTTTGTCAAACTTGACCTTAAAAACCTCTAAGGAAGGAGATTCCACCACCTCCCCAGGTAACACATTCCAGTGTTTCATCACCCTCCTAGGGAAAAAGTTTTTCCTAATATCCAACCTAACCTCCCCCACTGCAACTTGAGACCATTACTCCTCATTCTGTCATCTGCTACCACTGAGAACAGTCTAGATCCATCCTCCTTGGAACCCCCTTTCAGGTAGTTGAAAGCAGCTATCAAATTCCCCCTCATTCTTCTCTTCTGCAGACTAAACAATCCTAGTTCCTTCAGCCTCTACTCACAAGTAAAGTGCTCCAGTCTCCTAATCATTTTTGTTGCCCTCCGCTGGACTCTTTCCAATTTTTCCACATCCTTCTTGTAGTGTGGGGCCCAAAACTGGACACAGTACTCCAGATGAGGCCTTACCAATGTCGAATAGAGAGGAATGATCACGTCCCTCGATTTGCTAGCAGTGCCCCTACTTATACATCCCAAAATGCCGTTAGCCTTCTTGGCAACAAGGGCACACTGTTGCCTCATATCCAGCTTCTCATTCACTGTAACCCCTAGGTCCTTTTCTGCAGAACTGCTGCCTAGCCATTCGGTCCCTAGTCTGAAGCAGTGCATGGGATTCTTCCATCCGAAGTGCAGAACTCTGCACTTGTCCTTGTTGAACCTCATCAGATTTTTTTGGCCCAATCCTCTAATTTGTCTAGGGCCCTCTGTATCCTATCCCTACCCTCCAGCATATCTACCACTCCTCCTACTTTAGTGTCATCTGCAAACTTGCTGAGGGTGCAGTCCACGCCATCCTCCAGATCTTTAATGAAGATATTGAACAAAACCGGCCCCAGGACCAACCCTTGGGGCACTCCGCTTGATACCAGCTGCCAACTAGACATGGAGCCATTGATCACTACCTGTTGAGCCCGACGATCTAGCCAGCTTTCTATCCACCTTATAGTCCATTCATCCAGCCCATACCTCTCTAACTTGTTGGCAAGAATACTGTGGGAGACCGTATCAAAAGCTTTGCTAAAGTCAAGGAATAACACATGCACTGCTTTTGGAGTACGGTGTCCAGTTTTGGGCCCCACACTACAAGAAGGATGTGGAAAAATTGGAAAACGTCCAGCGGAGGGCAACAAAAATGATTATGGGATTGGAACACATGACTTATGAGGAGAGGCTGAGGGAACTGGGATTGTTTAGTCTGTGGAAGAGAAGAATGAGGGGGGATTTGATAGCTGCTTTCAACTCCCTGAAAGGGGGTTCCAAAGAGGATGGAGCAAGACTGTTCTCAGTGGTAGCTGATGACAGAACAAGGAGTAATGGTCTCAAGTTGCAGTGGGGGAGGTTTAGGTTGGATATTAGGAAAACTTTCCCTAGGAGGGTGGTGAAACACTGGAATGCGTTACCTAGGGAGGTGGTGGAATCTCCTTCCTTAGATATTTTTAAGGTCAGGCTTGACAAAACCTTGGCTGGGGTGATTTAGTTGGGGATTGGTCCTGCTTTGAGCAGGGGGTTGGACTAGATGACCTCCTGAGGTCCCTTCCAACCCTGATATTCTATGATTCTATGATTAAAGAATGGAGAGAAGCAGAAAAATGGGGTATCTAGGCTGGTATCACTAGCAGAGTGCAGGGGGCGGGTGGGAAGCAGCATTCTGGACAAGTTGGCATTAGAAGGGCTGGGGCTCAGGGAGGCCAGAGGGAAGGAAGCTGAAATGGCCCTGGCCAGAGGAGATGGGACCCAGGATGGGGATCTTAAGGTCGCAGGTGTTGCAAATAGCAAGGTTGCAGAGCTGGTGACAGGTATTTGAAGATGTCAGATTTCAGGGAAAAGACGTCACCATCCAGGCTATAGGCAACTGGCAGCGGTGGCAATCCCTCAAGGTCGAGGATGATCTCTTTCACAGGTTTTATTTTTCATGGGTCCTTTGGTGACAATAGGAAATGGAGGCAAGTCACTTACCCGCTTTGTCCCTGGTGGTGTATACAAGCACCCAGCTCTCTGCTCCAGGCACAGGATGGGTCTCTGCCCAGGACACACTCGATGCAGCTCTTGTATCTCTCACAGTCTGTTGTGTTGACCTGAGTCACTTCAGTAGGGGACCCTACATACAACCAGCTCTACAAAGATAGCAAAAGATAGCAACTCTTCCCCTACTCTGGACGACACCATGACACCTATATAAGGCTGGAGCCGCCAGCCACAAAGGAAAGGCTCATGAGCATAAGAATAGCACTTTTGTGGCTAGCCGCTCACAGCTGTGGGAGTCACTCCCAGCACAAATCTCAGTGCTGCCAGGACCACATATTAAACTCACATGACCACCGTTCCTTCAGCAACCAGCCAACAGGGGCAAGGAGAAGAGAAACAAGATTCCATGGAATTTTTAATATATAACCTGTTAGATGTACAGTTGCCATGGTGCTGAGCACAGTATAATCACTCAGACAGATAACCAGAGGCATCTATTACCCTTACCAAGAGGGAGCAATGGGACCCAGTAAACCTCATTTACCAGTGAATCAGGGATAAGCAAGGCTGGGGGCAGGCAGCCGCTTTCTGGATTTGATCCAGCAGACCCATATTTTCCCACCCTGAAGGTGTCAGTTTCCTTTTCAAATACCCCGTGTCCATCAGTGCTTGGAACATGCCAGCCTAGCCAGTGCTAGCTCCAGGCACCCAGAGGCTTGTTCCCTCACCTGGTGGAGCTGCAGGTTCTGAATTGGCTGGGGCTCTGGGAACAGTGTCAGATCCTCAATGATGACAGCTTTTTGGGCAATCTTCACTGCTTTGTGCAAATGTCCATCCTCTGTAAAGGGAAGGCCAGAGTAGAGGGAGAGATTAGATCAGCACCCCCATCTGGTGCCACAGCAGCAGACAAGCTCCACAACCATCCCTTCCCAAAAGGGCCTCACAGCTCCCATGCCAGGGGGTGGCCATTCTTGCTCTCACTTCAGACAGCTGCCCCCCAGCCTGCATCTCAAGCTCTCCCTGACACCTCCTCTCTCCATCACTGTGGACAACATCAGCATCTGCCTGTCACTCAGTCCCATAACGCAGAGGTCACCTTTGACTCTGGATGTGACGACCTAGAGAGAAGTCATACCATGTCTATGTCTTGCAGATTCTTTCTACATAATGTCTCTCAGATACGGTCTCTCCTACCACCCACACAGCTAAAATTCTCATCTGGGCTCTGGTTCTTGCACGTCTCCATTACTGAACATCCTTCTCCCTGGCCTCGACAAATGCAGTCTTGCCCAACGCACACCATTCAGAATGCTGCTGCATTCTAGCCCATTTTCCTAGCCCATTGCTTTGACCATGCCAGCCCCTCCCCACATACCTCCACTGGTTTCCCCTTTTTTGTCACTTCAGACATATGCCCTTGTCTTTGCTTTCAAGCCCCTTTGCAACCTATTCCTACCCTACCTATCATCTCTCCTTAACTACTGAACTGCTGACTCCCGTCCCGAGTCAGCCCATCATGCCAGCTTCCATTGCCCACTTGTTACATTATGAAACAAACATTTTGTGCTTTCTCCCCTGCTGCCTCCCACACGTGGGAGATGCTCCCAGTAAACAGCCCCCAAACTAACTCATTATCCTCCTTCAAAACCCTCCTTTGCTGTGAAGTCTAGAAAAAAATTGACAATGGTGCTAATGTGCTAAGCCCACTTCCTACCATGCTGACCAATATTGTCTCTGTTTCTTGGTACTCGCCCCTCAGTCTGTCTGTGTCCATCTCTTGTGTTATTCTTAGACTAAGCTCCTTGGGACAGGGACTTTTGTTTGTTCTGCATTTGTACAGTGCCTAGCACCATGGGGTCCAAGTCCATGACTGGGCTCCTAGGAGCTACAATACAAATAATAAATCATCTCTCCACTCCATGTGGCTGCTCCCAGGTGACTGCATCTGATTTACAGCCATACCCTCCCAACCTGTGCCCATTCTTTCCCTGTGCCTGTCCATTCCTGTCCCCACCCAGTGCTGCCATCTCCCTCACCGGTCCCCAGGTACAGCATATCATATTCCTGCCCAGAGATGCTTCTGACACGATGTACTGCAATTCTGAGGTACTGTGTGTCCAGCTTGACCAACACGGGCCTCACTTCCAGTGGGTGAACAACCTGGTCCATGAGAGGATGATCTCTGACAAATGTCAGAACACGGTCAGGCAGTGCCAGGGAGGAGCCAAAGCCAGCCAGCTTCATGCTCTTGGTAATGCACTGTGGGTAAAAAACAGGAAGACATGTTCAAATGACCTGGGCAGCAGAACAGCTGGACTGGATGTTGTTTCCTAGTCAGAAACTGTTAATTCCACTCCTTCAGCAGCCTTGGGACCTTCTGAATACAAAGTATGGTGCATACAACCTGCATATGGGGTTTCATACACACACAGTAGCAAATCACCTTGTGTTTCAGCAAATTTGACTGGGGCTAGCCCCACAATGGCCCATTTGGGGTATGTCTTCACTACCCTCCGGATCGGCAGGCAGCAATTGATCCAGCGGGGATCGATTTATTGCGTCTGGTCTAGACGTGATAAATCGATCCCTGAGCGCTTTCCCATGGACTCCTGTATTCCAGCGCCGCGAGAGGCGCAGGCAGAGTCGACGGGGGAGCGGCAGCCGACTCATCGCTGTGGAGACACCACGGTAAGTCGATCTATGTTATTCATGTAGCTGAAGTTGCGAATCTTAGCTCGATCCCCCCTGCCCTGTAGACCAAGGCTCAGGCTTTTAAGGCACATCTCAGAGCAATAGAGGGACTACTTAGCTGCCCTTACAAACAGGTCACAAAGGTATTTACAGGCTAATGACTGACTAGGGAGATGGTTAATAGGTTAACTAAGCACCTGAGAAAGGGGGATATAATGAGAAGCATTAGACACAACTCCCATCTCTGCCTACAACAAATCCTCCCCAGATTAAATCTGCCCTCTCACAATCAGTTATTTTTGGCCATTATAATTGCTAATTTTGGGGCTTCAGCATTTTGCCATTTTAGCTGTAAATGTATTTGCTGTATCTGTGCATTTTGCCTAGAAAGTTTTACTTGTAATTGTTTTTTATATAAAAAGAAAAGGAGTACTTGTGGCACCTTAGAGACTAACCAATTTGCTCAAATAAATTGGTTAGTCTCTAAGGTGCCACAAGTACTCCTTTTCTTTTTGCGAATACAGACTAACACGGCTGTTACTCTGAAACCTGTTTTTTATATGTTTTTAAAGTATAGTTTTTTGCCCAGGAATTTTTGAAGTATTGGTGTTTTGCCTTGAGTGCTTTATTAGGCACTTCTGATGAAATCAGTTAATTTTTTAAAGAGGCATTCTGCCATAGTAGCACTTTTTTTTATAATAAATTACAGTAGCAACTTTTGTGCGTCCTGGAATTGCAGGATTGAGCACAGCGCTTGCTGGCCTGCACAAATGTACATGAGATTAACAAACACTAGCGTCCCATCTCTCACTCAATGACAGGTTTCAGAGTAACAGCCATGTTAGTCTGTATTCGTAAAAAGAAAAGGAGTACTTGTGGCACCCTAGAGACTAACCAATTTATTTGAGCATAAGCTTTCGTGAGCCACAGCTCACTTCATCGGATGCATACTGTGGAAAGTGTAGAAGATCTTTTTATATACACACAAAGCATGAAAAAATACCTCCTCCCACCCCACTCTCCTGCTGGTAATAGCTTATCTAAAGCTATCACTCTCCTTACAATGTGTATGATAATCAAGTTGGGCCATTTCCAGCACAAAATGGATACTCTCATAAAAAACCAACCTTCCACACTAACTTCCTCGTGGCTGGAATTTACTAAAACTAGACAAGCCATTTACAACACACACTTTGCTTGTCTACAAAAGAAAAAAGGACACTAAACTTTCTAAACTACTACATGCCACAAGGGGCCACAGCAATGGTTCCCTCAACCCACCCAGCAATATTGTTAACCTATCCAACTATACTCTCAGCCCAGCAGAAGCAGCTGTCCTATCTCGGGGCCTCACCTTCTGCCCCTCCACCCCCACGAACATGATACAGTTCTGTGGTGACCTAGAATCCTATTTTCGACATCTCCGACTCAAAGAATATTTCCAACATACCTCTGAACAACATACTAATCCACAGAGACCTCCCTACCAACACTACAAAAAGAAGGATTCTAGGTGGACTCCTCCTGAAGGTCGAAACAGCAGACTGGACTTCTACATAGAGTGCTTCCGCCGACGTGCATGGGCTGAAATTGTGGAAAAGCAGCATCACTTGCCCCATAACCTCAGCTGTGCGGAACACAATGCCATCCACAGCCTCAGAAACAACTCTGACATCATAATCAAAAAGGCTGACAAAGGAGGTGCTGTTGTCATCATGAATAGGTCGGAATATGAACAAGAGGCTGCTCGGCAGCTCTCCAACACCACTTTCTACAAGCCATTACCCTCTGATCCCACTGAGAGTTACCAAAAGAAACTACAGCATTTGCTCAAGGAACTCCCTGAAAAAGCACAAGATCAAATCCATACAGACACACCCCTGGAACCCCGACCTGGGATATTCTATCTACTACCCAAGATCCATAAACCTGGAAATCCTGGGCACCCCGTCATCTCAGGCATTGGCACCCTGACAGCAGGATTGTCTGGCTATGTAGACTCCCTCCTCAGGCCCTACGCTACCAGCACTCCCAGCTACCTTCGAGACACCACTGACTTCCTGAGGAAACTACAATCCATCGGTGATCTTCCTGATAACACCATCCTGGCCACTATGGATGTAGAAGCCCTCTACACCAACATTCCACACAAAGATGGACTACAAGCCATCAGGAACAGTATCCCCGATAATGTCACGGCTAACCTGGTGGCTGAACTTTGTGACTTTGTCCTTACCCATAACTATTTCACATTTGGGGACAATGTATACCTTCAGATCAGCGGCACTGCTATGGGTACCCGCATGGCCCCACAGTATGCCAACATTTTTATGGCTGACTTAGAACAACGCTTCCTCAGCTCTCGTCCCCTAACGCCCCTACTCTACTTGCGCTATATTGATGACATCTTCATCATCTGGACCCATGGAAAAGAAGCCCTTGAGGAATTCCAGCATGATTTGAACAATTTCCATCCCACCATGGATGGAACAGACATCCCCCCAACCTGAAGCAAATACTCACCAGCAACCACATACCACACAACAGAACCACTAACCCAGGAACCTATCCTTGCAACAAAGCCCGTTGCCAACTGTGCCCATATATCTATTCAGGGGACACCATCACAGGGCCTAATAACATCAGCCACACTATCAGAGGCTCGTTCACCTGCACATCCACCAATGTGATCTATGCCATCATGTGCCAGCAATGCCCCTCTGCCATGTACATTGGTCAAACTGGACAGTCTCTACGTAAAAGAATAAATGGACACAAATCAGATGTCAAGAATTATAACATTCATAAACCAGGTCAGAGAACACTTCAATCTCTCTGGTCACGCGATTACAGACATGAAAGTTCCTATATTACAACAAAAAAACTTCAAATCCAGACTCCAGCGAGAAACTGTTGAATTGGAATTCATTTGCAAATTGGATACAATTAACTTAGGCTTGAATAGAGACTGGGAGTGGCTAAGTCATTATGCAAGGTAACCTATTTCCCCTTGTTTTTTCCCCCCCCCCCTCGCAGACGTTCTTGTTAAACCCTGGATTTGTGCTGGAAATGGCCCAACTTGATTATCATACACATTGTAAGGAGAGTGATCACTTTAGATAAGCTATTACCAGCAGGAGAGTGGGGTGGGAGGAGGTATTTTTTCATACTTTGTGTGTATATAAAAAGATCTTCTACACTTTCCACAGTATGCATCCGATGAAGTGAGCTGTGGCTCACGAAAGCTTATGCTCAAATAAATTGGTTAGTCTCTAAGGTGCCACAAGTACTCCTTTTCTTTTTTCCTCTCACTCAGTGTTACCCCTTCCAAGCAGTTGGGTTGCGACCCAACACTCCTTGGTTTGACTGATGTTTTGGCTGGATGGCTCCTGTCTCGGCGTGCCAATTTGTTGATAAATTGGGCACAGTTAATTGCTTGATCACTCTTTGGTTTGTTATGAAATATACTTAAGAGACCAAATAACCAACGTTAGTTAGGTTTATTGCTATAAGCCATTATAATGTAGTACAGGAAAAAAGGTTTTATACCAGGGGTGGGCAAACTTTTTGGCCTGAGGGCCACATCGGGGTATGGAAATTGTATGGTGAGCCATGAATGCTCATAAAATTGGGGATGGGGTGAAGGAGGTGGTGAGGGCTCCAGCTGGGGCCAGAAACGAGGAGTTCAGGGTGCAGGAGGAGGCTCCGGGCCGGAGTGCGGGGGGGGTTATGCTCTGGGTGGGGCTGGGGATGAGGGGTTTGGGGTGCAGGAGGGGGCTCCAGGCTGGGACCAAGGGGTTTGGAGGGCGAGAGGGGGATCGGGGCTGGGACAGGCTGTTGGGGCACAGGACGGGTGAGGGCTCTGGTTGGGGGTCTGGGCTGGGATCAAGGGCGGGAGGGGGATCAGGGCTGTGGCAGGGGATTGGGGCACGGGGGGGGGCCCTCTGGACGGCGCTTACCGGAAGTATGTCCCACTCCAGCTCCGAGGCGTGGCCAGATGGCTCTGCACGCTTCCCCCTCCACAGATGCCACCCATGCAGCTGCCATTGGCTGGAAACCGTGGCCAATGGGAGCTGCGGGGTTGGCGCCTGCAGACGGCGCAGTGTGCAGAGCCACCTGGCCACGTCTCCGCTTACTACGTAGGAGCTGGAATGGGGTCATGCCGGCTGCTTCCTATGAGCCACGCGAGTGGAGCAAGCCCCCGAAACCGCTCCCTGTCTGGAGCGCCGGAGCGGGGCAAATCTCTGACCCCGCTCCCCAGTGGGAGCTGAAGGCCGGATTAAATGGTCTGATGGGCCGGATGTGGCCCGCGGGCCATAGTTTTATACAATACCTGTCTCCAGGAAGCTCTCTCATGCAGTGTTGGTACATTTACTTTATGTAGAAGATGGACTCCCCTAAAGCCATTTTTATACAGTACCCTTTACTTGTAAACAGGTAGGGTGTTCATCATTTGAAACTAAATTTAACCAATTAAGTTTTTACCTTTTTTTTTTTTAATGCCATGATGTAACCCTTATCGCTTTATTCTATACACATGCATTTTAGGTACCAAAGGGTATGATGCCACCTTCTAGTTCTGTACTAGGGTAGAACAATTGTTTGTTATGTCCTCTTCCTTTGGGGCATTCCAGTGCAGGCTTGTGAGAGTAACTTTCTTTTTGCTCTTATGGTAAAGCACTCATCTGTATCAATTTTGACAGCTTTTTTATTTGCTTAAGCCAAAACTTATTTTAGTGAATGCAAAGGGTTATGGGACATTTAGCATAAGTTATCAGGGTTATATAAAAATTATAGGCCAATTTAGGCTATATAACTGCTATAATATTTGTGCTTACTGCATACTGAGATAGCTAGGTAGATATGTGTATGAATGATATGGTACATATTATTAATATGATACGTATATATACAAGGCAGCATATGTTAGTCAACACCTCCCTCACCTCCCCAGCCAGTGTTCTAGGCCAAAGCCTGAAGGTCCACAGCCCTTTTCATGAAAAAGAAAAAAAGAAGAGATCTGTATCTGTCCAGTAGCCAGCATGGTTCTCATCACTTACTGCACCTGGCCGTGGCTCAGGGACATCCCCACCCATGACACTTGTCCACTTGTCACAGTCATGTTTAAATTCCTTGAAACGGCCGTTCATGGCTTTCTGGATGTCCCGAATGCTGTAGGCACAGACAGCTGAGACCTGTCCGCCATCCCTGAGGGGAAACAGAAAGGGAGGTTAATTAGCTATAAGAGAAGCTTTGAGCAGATTGTCAAGGGAGAATCCTCAGACTCTGAGTGGCACCATGGAATGACTCATGTGAAATTAAATAAGGAGCGAGGCCCATACAACCTCACAAGTTTCTATTTATCTTATCAAAAAGAAGATTTAGAGGTGACTTGATTACAGCTTATAAATACTGTCATGGAGGAAAAATGCCAGGTACTAAAGGGCTCTTCAATCTAGCAGAGAAAAGCATTACAAGACTCAATGGCTAGATGCTGGAGGCAGATAATTCAAATTAGACGTTAGGGATAAATAAAAAAACCAAAGAGAGATTAACCATTGGACCAAAGTATCATGGGAAGTGGTGAATTCTCCAGCTCTTGATGTTTTTAGATCAGTACCGGATGCCTTTCTGGAAGGCGTGCCTTAGTCAAACACAATACAGGGGTAACTGAGTGAATGTAATGGCCTGTGATAAAACAGGAGGTCACACTAGGTGACCTAATGGCCCCTTCTGGCTTAAACTCTATGAATCTAGTTATAAGCATTATCAGTAGAGATATGCACTTTGGGGAAATTCAGTCATGAGCAGTAAGAAACCCCTAAAGAGCAGGGAATGAGGAAGATATTTAGATAAGCGACAGAAAAATTGCTCTCCTGAACTAGGCACCAGATCTCAAAGCTAGGGCAAAAGTGATGCTATGAAGGTAAGAATTGAGCTCTGCATATTTCTACACTGAGGACATTACAGAAGGCAAGCCTGATAAGACACCTCTGTTGCAATGGGATGGGATATCTGCTAATCCACAGCATGTTCCTATAGAGGATTTGACCCATTGGGATCTATCTTTCAGGAGGAAATAGCCTGTCCCGTAACTCTACTTGGGGGATTATAAAAATATTTTGTTCCATTAGGTAGCAGTTAGGAGCACTTTTAATATCATGCATGTGTGTGTGTCAGGGTGTACGCTAACCTCCATTGAAGGGGAAAGATTTGGGAAAGACAAGTGAAAATCAGTAACCACATTAGGGAAGAAATTGGGGTGTGGGCCCATTACCCATTTGTCTTCAGGGAAGGCTGTGTAAGTAGGGCTCAGCGGTAAAGGATGGGACCCTCTAATTCTCCCGGCATGTGTGTCACCATAAAGCATTGTAACAGTAGACGCAGAAGACCTGGCAAGGCAAAAGCAGCTTCCCATGTCAAATCCAGGGGTTCCCAAGTATCAGACCTACGTATCACAGTGTCAGCAGAACTCGGGCCTGTTCTTGTTTGATAAAATGGTTATTTTCCTATATTGTAGCTGTTGTACTTCACGATGTGTTGTGTGTGTCTTTTCCTTCGGTGTGGGCACACCCAGTGGGCTCAAGCCAAAGAGTTCATGATACAGCATGTGCCCTGCACCTCCCCACTAGGGTTGCCAGGTGTCCAGTCAAAAAGGGGACCAGACACCAAAAGTATGATTACTGTGGCCGGGGGAAGAAGGGGAGGGGAGGTACTGGGTCATCAACCTGCACCAGCCCCTGCTGAGCCAGGGCTGCCTCCTACCTGCATCACATGGGGGATGGGGGAGTTGTCTGGTTTTCAAAAATTAGAAAGTTTGCAACCCTACGCCACGCCAAGGGCCAAGGGCATAAATGGTGGAGTCCCCGATCCCCTTTCAGTTCCTTCACACCAGAATCATGATGGGATAGACTCCAAAGAAGAGGGGAAGGAGGGTGAGCTATGGGCTCTCACACAGTTAAAGTGCAGTTAAGTAACAGATTTTTCTTCTTTATGTGATTGCACACATCCATTCCACTTAGATGACACCCAAGCAGTGCATCATGATGGTGGGGCCTAGAGTCAATTTGAAAAGGGATTGCACCATTGCTCTCCCAAAGTCAAGTCAGCTCTGGAGGCTGTAATAATCACATAATGCTTGGCAAAGATATGCCTCGAGGACCATGTCTCTGCTTTATATTTGTCCTCTATAGGTACATCTCTGAACAAAGTCAGGCAAGTTGCTTGGGCTGTGGTAGAATGCGCTGCCACTCTTGGAGAACATAAAGTGTTAGCTAGCTCATGAACTAGGGTTGCCAGCCCTTCAGAATTGTCCTGGAGTCTCCATGAATTAAAGATTAATCTGCAATTAAAGATTATGTAATGTGATGAAGCCTTCAGGAATATGCCCAATCAAAATTGGAACCCTACTCATAACATGAGATTATCCAGTGAGAAATTCCCTGAGCTGGAACTGCCTGACGCTTTATCCTTCCTGGATGGGATATAAATAGATGTGATCTATATAAAAAGAGAGGACACAACAAACATCTAGCGTAGGGAGTCTCTCCTCATCCTTATGCATACACGTCTCAGGGGAAAAGGTAGGCAGACGGCGTGCCTGATTATGGTGGGAGCTGGACACCACCTTCATTAGAAATTCCAGATGTGGTTTCATTGAGACTTTGTATTTATCGAATGTGGTATGGGGGACCCGCCATCAGGACTTGCAGCTCTGTCCACTTCTCTTGCCCATGTGATAGCCACCAGGAAGGACACATTTGCTAATCGGTGGGCTAAAGAGCAGGTTGCCATTGGCTCAAATGGAGGCCCTATCAGAGCAGATAATACAAGAGTCAAGTTTCAAGGAGGAACCAGAGCCCCGGTAAGAGGATGAGTTCTATTTATCTCTTTTTAAAAAATCCAGCCTCCATAGAGTTAGAGAAAACTGACTTCACCTGGTTAGGAGGGTAGATAGCCAAGACTGCAGCTAAGTGTACTTTTAGTGAGCTAGTAGATGGTCACAATTCTTTAAGATATAGGAGATATTCCAAGATATCTTAGATTCTTGTTCCTTAGGGAAGTTATGACTCTCAGACCAACTAGAAAAATGTTTCCCCTTATAGAGATAAGTACTCCAAGTAGATGTTTTTCCACTGTTCTATAGAATACTTTGCACAGCCATCCAACAGCCAAGCCATCAGGTGGACACTCTTGGGATTTGGGTGAAGGATTTGACAGTCATCCAGGCATACTGTGTCTTTGTCTGGGAGAAGCGGTAGTGATAGTTGAAAAGAGAATCTGTAGGTTAGAGAACCAGTGTTGCCTTAGTCAAGCTGGGGCAATCAGAATCACATGGGATGACCTTGGGAACGAGCGGTACTGGGGAAAAGCGTATGTCAGACTCAACTCACAAAGAAGGAGGAATGCATCTGCAAGGGATCTGGGGCTGTGACCTGCTCTGAAAGAGAACTGATGGCATTCTGTTTGCTCTTGTAGCAAATACGTCCATATGGGGAATACGTCCAAGTGAAGAAGATTAATCTGACTATACTCGCTTTCAAAAACCACTCGTGGTCTTCCCAAAGCATCTGGCTGACACGGTCTGCTATTCCAAGGACAGTCACAGATGCAGAGTGATCGGTAAGCTGGGCACAAGCAAACAATATACATTTTAACACAGTGAAATGTAAATGGATCCATCTAGGAACAAAGAACATCGGCCTTACTTACAGGTTGGGGAACTGTATCCTGGGAAGCAGTGACTCTGAAAAAGATTTGGGGTCGTGGTGGATAATCAGGTGAACATGAGCTCCCAGTGCAACACTGTGGCCAAAACAGCTAATGTGATCCTGGAATATCCAAACAGGGGAATCTCAAGTAGGAACAAAGAGGTTATTTTACCTCTGTATTTCCACTGGTGCAACTGCTGCTGCAATACTGTGTCCTGTTCTGGTGTCCACAATTCAAGAAGGATGTTGACAAATTGGAGAGGATTCAGAGAAGAGCCATGAGAAGGATTAGAAAACATGCCTATAGTAACAGGTTTCAGAGTAACAGCCGTGTTAGTCTGTATTCGCAAAAAGAAAAGGAGTAATGATGAAGTGAGCTGTAGCTCACGAAAGCTCATGCTCAAATAAATTGGTTAGTCTCTAAGGTGCCACAAGTACTCCTTTTCTTTATGCCTATAGTAAGAGGCTCAAAGAGCTCAATCTATTTATCTTAAAAAGAGAAATTTAAGGGGTGACTTGATTACAGTCTGTAAGTATCTACATGGGAAATAAATATTTGATAATGTGGACTTCAATCTAGCAGAGAAAGGTTTAAGACAATCCAATGGCTGGAAACTGAAGCTGGACAAATTCAGGACTGGGAATGAGGAGCTAATTAACAGTGAGACTAACCAACCATTGCAGCAATGTACCATGGGTCAGGCTGGGTTCTCCATCACAGAGTATTTAAAAATCAAGATTGGATGATTTTCTAAAAAAATATGCTCTAGCAACTATTGTTGGGAAATGCTATAGCCTGGGTTATACAGCAGATCCAACTAGATGGATTTCAGTAGCTCCTTCTGGCCTTGGGATCTATGAATGTATCACCACTGTAGTCTTCAGTGACCACTCATATTGGTCCCACATCTTCCTACTGAGAGAGGCCCTCTGTACATTCTTTTCCACGGCCAGATGCAGAGTTGTTGAATGAAGTACGAGGCACCACGGCCAGAACTTTAAGGCCTATGAGCACAGAGATGGAGAGTGTGACGCTCCCTGATTTTTAGATAGCGGCATTGCCTGTCAGTACCCGGCCTCAAAGGTAAAGGAGTTAAGGTCCATCAAATGGCTCTGACCTCTAGCACACTGAGGTGGAGTTTTGCTTCCCATTGGTTCCATAATCTATGCATCTCTAGGTATTGACATGCACTTTCCAGTCCAGATTGGAGGCATCTGTTGTGTTAATGGTCTTGGAACAGACAGGCATGACGTACATGAGCATAAGAATGGCCTTACTGGGTCAGACCAATGGCCCATCTAGCCCAGTATCCTGTCCTCCAACACTGGCCAATGCCAGGTGCTTCAGAGGGAATGAACAGAACAGGTAATCAACAAGTGATCCATCCCATGTACCCCCACTCACAGCTTTTGTCAAACAGAAGCTAGAGACACTTCAGAGCATGATTTTGCATCCCTGCCCATCCTGGCTAATAGCTCTCCTAAGACCCACTGTCA